CGGCCGTTGCACCCAAGAGTCTTGCTTGCGAGCTTCCCAGAAACATCTGCTTAGCCACTGCGAGAGCAGGAAGCTGGATTAGGCGAGGCTCCTGCCTGATATGGCAGCCTCTTCTTATATTCTGATGCTCTTATACGGTATTAGACAAATGGACCAAAGCTAAAGCTGTATTGCTCTACCTCTACATTTTGAAGGGAGTCTGCCTCCGAACTGCAGCTGCTGGAAATTGCCAAGTCCCAGGGGAGCGAAGCTGCAACTCAGATCCCCATTCGTGGATTTTTCATTGGGATATCTTTTTGGCCACTGTGAAAACAGGGCACGGGACCAGAGAGAGCTGTCCTTAAATCCTCAAGGCCACTATGTGTTTGGTGCTGCTCCACGCATCTTGCAAAGTTCACTCGCACGGGCTTGCATGTTAGTTTGCAAACAGATTCCTAACTTGCAGGCTGCTTTTAACAATGCAGCAAGGAAACTAGTTTAAGCACTTCATTACTGGCAATGTGCAGCCCAGACAGAGAGGATGCACAAATTCTGGTGTAGCTTTGTTTATGGGGGGGAGGGTTCTCTAATTTTTTTTGGCTGGCATGGGTAGCCAAAACACATTCCTCCCAATACACGCAGCTAACAGCCGCTATAGCCAGTAGGAGAACCTGCGCTGTGCTAATGAATGTGCCGCCACACCGGTTGCGGGGAAAGAGAACAAGCAGTCCTCGCTCATACTCTTGTCGACCAACTAAACCCGTAAATAAAATCGAAAAGATAAAACTGCTGTTCTGCACAGTGTCATTCTTACCTTTAGGATGCAGAAGCGATTTGACATTTGACCTATTAGTGGATAAGCAAGCAGCACACTCACCTATCCTCAATATCTTGCCAAAACAATTGTTTTCCAAGGGGCGTGCTTTTAAATTATTTCACTTCCATTGCATTACCTTTTCTTTCACCCTGAGGCCTTCCTCCAATTCCCCTAATGGAAACCCTTCATAAAAGGTAAAGGTAAAGGTACCCCTGCCCGTACAGGCCAGTCTTGACAGACTCTAGGGTTGTGTGCTCATCTCACTCAAGAGGCCGGGGGCCAGCGCTGTCTGGAGACACTTCCGGGTCACGTGGCCAGCGTGACAAAGCTGCATCTGGCGAGCCAGCACCAGCACCGCACACGGAAACGCCGTTTACCTTCCCGCTAGTAAGCGGTCCCTATTTATCTATTTGCACTTTGATGTGCTTTCGAACTGCTAGGTTGGCAGGCGCTGGGACCGAGCGACGGGAGCGCACCCCGCCACGGGGATTCGAACCACCGACCTTTCGATCGGCAAGCCCTAGGCGCTGAGGCTTTTACCCACAGCGCCACCCGGAAACCCTTCATAAACACATCCAAAATCACTTGGATTTTGCTGGGGTTTTGTTTGTTTTTTAATGGTATGTTTGGGGCATCAACCACCAGCCCTCTCCTAAATCCTTGATTTGTTTGGTACCAAGTGTGGATTTTTGCTAGCCTTCCAGATGATCATTCCAACAATATCAAAGCTCCAGGAAGGTGCTTCTTGTTCTATTCTGGGTTATCAATTCTACAGCAGACGACACACCGTGTTTCGCTTGGAATTCTCCCTGCCTTGCAGACCATGCGTCAAGAGAGAATGGCGCATGTGCGTTCAGCGCATGAGCAGAGTGGAGCACAAAATGATCAACCAAAGCCATGCACATCCAGGAGAGCTGGGTAGAGATCCCTACTCAGGTTCCAAGGTTTCACGGACCAGTCTAACCACAATCACAGGATGGGTTTAAGGGATAAAAACCCAGAAGGCTACTCTGAGCTCCTGGAAGACAAGAATAAATACTGTAGTGGTAATACTGCAAACAGAGACCAATGTGCTGCAGTTTGAAGAACTCCTGTTCCTGGTTTAGAGGTCCGTCCCCCCTCCAACAATCAAGAGGTATATTTTATGGAATAAATAAATACAAAGCCAGCCTGCGTCTCTTCCAGAACACACATTCTAGCCCCCCCCCCCCATCCAAGAGAGCTCAGCATTCTATGGTCACTGAGCATCTTCAGGCTTCACTGGACAATACTGTATTTTGGGGGGGGGGTGCAGAAATACTCCAAACTCTTAAACTACTCCACCCCCATCATTCTACTCGGACACTGAGGTCCTTCTGGCGGTTCCCTCACTGCAAGAAGCCAAGTTACAGGGAACCAGGCAGAGGGCCTTCTTGGTAGTGGCACCCGCCCTGTGGAACGCCCTCCCACCAGATGTCAGAGAAGAACAATTACCAGACTTTTAGAAGGCAGCCCTGTTTAGGGAAGCTTTTAATGTTTGATGGATTACTGTATTTTAGTATTTTGTTGGAAGCCGCCCAGAGTGGCTGGGGAAGCCCAGCCAGATGGCTGGGGTATAATTAATTAATTAATTAATTAATTAATTAATTTTATTTTTATTATGGGTAACATGTAAGGGTTGGGGGGTACTTCTGCAAAGCTCGAATTTCCTCTGAGCACACAGGTGACCTGTTCCAACTTGGCTACAGTTATGTTGGCACTCACCAGCCGCGTTCACTATTAGATGGAGATACACCTGGCGTCAAATACCGCGCTAAGTGCCAAGCTGACAAAACTTTTATTTGCCCAGACATTTCGGTATACAATGTCTTCAGCTGTTTGGATGGCTTTATTCCTCCGAGTCTCCATCTGCACTATATTTTTAAAGCAGTATCATATCACTTTCAAGAGTCATGGCTTGCCACCCAAAGAATACTGGGAGCTGTCGTTTGCTAAGGGTTCTGGGAGTTGTCAGGAGATTCCCAGTGCCCCTTTGCAGAGCTATAATTCCTGAAGTTTCGGGGGGGGGGAAGGGCCTGGAAAATGATTGGCAATTAAGTGCAGCTGGGCCAGGATCAGTGCAATATGCTCAAACCATCCTGTCCTCTGTGTGAGATAACCACTGGCGTAGTAAGTACACAAGGGATGACCTGGAAAGCCTTAAATCCCACCCTCTGCACAAACTGAATGGGTGGTCTTTGGCAAATCAACAAGCCCTTCCCACGTGTTGACAACAGGATATATAAAACCACTGAGGTTGGTGGCTTTGAAAAAAGGAGTGAACCGGCACCTATTTCTCTAGGGGGGAGGGTCACTGGCTACACCATGGGTAGGCAAACTAAGGCCCGGGGGCCGGATCTGGCCCAATCGCCTTCTAAATCTGGCCAGCGGACGGTCCGGGAATCAGCGTATTATAACAAGAGCAGAATGTGTCCTTTTATTTAAAATGCATCTCTGGGTTATTTGTGGAGCATAGGAATTCGTTCCTTCCCCCACCCCCAAAAAAATATGGCCCCCCACAAGGTCTGAGGGACAGTGGACGGGCCCCCTGCTGGAAAAGTTTGCTGACCCCTGGGCTACACTCTGTCTCTGGAAGCAGCAGTGGGTCACAGAAGCAGCAATACTTCTGAATATCAGTTGCCGGAAACTCCGGGAGGGAAGAGCTCTCTGGGGCTCAAATCCTACTTGTGGTTTTCTGGCCGGCCACTGTGAGAACAGGATGCTGGACTTAGAGGAGCCACTGAAACTGATCCAAGCAAGCTGGTTGCATATTCGTACGTCTGCTTGCAAGGATTCCTGCCTGGTGCGCACTGCACAGATGTTGCCTCAAGAGGAAGGATAAAAGAGGCTGCGAAGCAGGGTGCCTTTCCGCGTCCAGCCCTGCCCCTCCCCGTGCAAGAGATGCGGCAGAAATTCTGTGCATGTCTGCAAACTTTTCCTTTCTACAGCCAAACTTTTCTTTCAGCCAGCCCCGAGAACTGGAAACTTGCTCAACGCGAAACCACCGCAGACATCAAGAGATGTTCCGAAGGCATGCCTTAATCCGGCAGAGATTGCAAGAAAGTACACGGAGTCCTGAGCGAGCGGGACAAAAGTTCGAGTTTTTTTCCCACCCCTCTCTCCAAAGGGGCCTTTCTGCGCCATCAGGTCCCCGGGAGCACACAGAGATATATACATGTTCCGAACGCATGCATGGCAAGGCAAAAAAACCCCTGCTTTTGTGCACGTGCAGAGTGCATCGCCTTATACCCCAGAATTATAAAACCCCCCCATGGTCCACAAACAAGTGGAGACTGCAGAACAAATAAATGGACCGAGCACATCTTGGTCTAGGAACAGAGAGCTTTTAGGTGCGCGCGCGCGCACGTTCTCTGTCATTCACACACACACACAAAACAACTATGGACATTGCAAGCTTTGCAAGCGCTTGGGGGGGGGGTTAAGCCTCTAGCTGCCGCCCATCACCCCGTCGCCGACCCCCGGAGAGCTTTCTCCTGCAAGGGGCCAAGTGACCTTTTTGTTTGCAGAAGTTGCAACTGGGCGTGGGGGAGGGGAGGCGGACGAGAGAGGAAAAAGCAGATCACTAAGAAAAGTCCCCTTTCCAAGTCGCAGAGGCCTGTGCAAAGGAAGGGAAAAGAAGGGGGGGGTAAAAACTCAGCAGCAGCTGCAGAGGCAACCCCAGAGAGCGTTACCTGTCAACTGCCAAAGCTAAAATCATAACTTGGAAAGGGGAGCGGGGGGGGGGGCTTGCAAGGCAGCATGCAACGTTAAAATGCTCTGCAGAACAATAACCCGGCGCTGGGGGGGGGTAAAGTTGTGCAACGGGGAAGCATTTCTGCGCAGACCCACACACACACAAAATGCACCACCCAACTCTTCCCCCCCCCGCAAAACTTTTTTTTTTTTTTGCACGCTCAGGATTGAACCAGGATGACATTTCAGCCGCCCCCACCCCCCCACCTTGCAAATCCCTTCCTCCGGCTGTTCCCGGCACCTCCCCGCAAAACCATGCAAGTTTCCTGCGACTCTCCGCCGAGCACAGACCCTCCTTTGCAAAATAAAAAAAATTAAAATTAGCAATTGCACGCAGGGCATTTAAAGGAGTCTTGGGGGCAGCACGAGCTGCATTGCAATCGACCGCTTAAGCCTTCCGCCACCCTTTTTCCGACAGTTGCAACACATCTACCTTGTTTTCTGTCCATGTTGGTTTCCCAGAAGTGAAAGAACAGCGAACGGCACTCCTCGGAGGGGCGATTTTGCGCCCTGCAGAAAAGCAACCCCGGGTCGGCTGCAAGAAGCGGCGGCTAGTCAGAAAAGCACGGGTGCATGCTCCCAAGTTCTTGCGGACTAGAACTTTATCCGCCAATTGCTTGTTTTCGCCTCCTGCTCCCTTAAAAAAAAATAAAACACTCTTCCTTCGTGCTCTCGGCGTGCAGAAAACCCGCAGCAAGGAGGCGAGTGGAGGGAGGAAAGGTTTGCACAGAGTCAAAGCAATCCGGATTTTTTTATTTTTTTCCCCCCTTTTCCTCCCGCAGGCTAAAAAAAGAGACCCCGCGAGAGAGGCAGGGAGGAGGGAGAACCAACTCCCGGCGGTAGTAAAGCGCAGCGCGATCTCTCCAGGCGGCAGCTGAGGTTGCCCCGTTCCGGGGGCTTCTCGAATTACAAGCGGAACGCAGCGCAAGTTGCAAAAAAGAGCAGCAGCGGCAGGAGAGAGGAGAGAAAGAGAGAGGCCCGTGACGTCAAACAGGAAACTGGAAGGCCGCCAGCTCGGGGAGGCAGCGGCCAAGCTGCCCGCGGGGGGCGGGCGAGGAAAAGCCCCGGCTCCCGGGAATCGGGGCGGAAGGGAGACGGCAGCTCTGGGACGGGACACGGAGGCTGCTCATTGCAGCCTCCTCCTCCTGCTGCTGCTACTGCCGCTCGCCCAAAAAGGAGATTGATCCAGCAGCCCGAGCGAGACTTTTTGCATTGGAAACGCCGGCTCAGGATTCGAACCGGGGACCCTTCCTCTGCAAGCGCGGAAAGGGGGGCGAGCGGCACCCATGGGCAGCTGCCGCCCCTCCCTCCCTCCCTCCCAATCAAGCAAATAAATAAAAATACTTAATCACAAGTACTGTATACAGTGTAGCGGTGCTTTTTTTCTTTCTGAGGGGCTCATACACCTAAACATTTTGTGAATCTAAAGTTTGGCCTCATTGAGGGGCACTATTTCAATAGAAATAGGAAAATGAGAGTATGCACCCCTAAACATTTTTTTACGGCAGGGGGAAAGCTCTGCACTGTAGAAAGATGGACAGATTTTTCGAAGCACTTGGGGGTCAAAATAAAAGTAAAAGAACTGTTGTGGAGACATTTCCGAATCTGCAGAGCATGATGACAGGTGGGTGTCCTGCCCCCTCCCACCCCCCAATCCTGGCTACCTGCCCCCCACAAGATAAATCCTGGCTACGCCCATGCCAGCACCCCGATATTTCACTCCCTGTCTGGTGGGCTCACAGAAAGGCATGCCCCATTCATGTACAAAATTGTAACTGAATCAAACCACGTTGCAACCCAAAGTAGGCTTAGGAAATCATAAGATCCTACTTTGGGATGGGACCCCGGCGGTCATCTAGCCCAACCCGCTGCAAAGCAGGAATCTTTTTGCCCAAAGTGGGGCTCGAACCCACAACCCTAAAATTAAGAGTCTCGTGCTCTACGGACTGAGCTATCCCACTTACTATTAAAAAAATTGTTAGTCGTTTTTTCTTGCCCCAAGGCAACTCTGGTTGCACAAAAAGTCCCCAAGCAGTTAATGACATAATAAAAATGCATTGTTAATTATAACATTTTATTATTTAGCTATAATATTGAGTACTGTTTCTAAAAACCTTGCCGTTGTTGAATTCTAGTATTCTAAAAACTGCTTTGAGGCTTCCTTGTTGTTTTTTTAACAATCAGGTGGCATATAATTCTTATGAAATAAATGAGTTATGAAACAGAAGCATCTACTAAGAACTGTAGGCAGATGGAAGAGTTACCTGAAAGTCGACTTCAGAGGAGATAGTTACTTCAGAGGAATAATACTTTAGGGAGAGCAGGTTGAGGGTGGGGTCGTTTGTGAGTAATGTGCTGTTGTTTCTCGGCCGGAACACTGCCCACTTTCCTAGAAATGTTCCTCTCTGTGCACAAAGGCAGAATCTGATTTTTATTTTTAGGTCAGGAGTGACCTCGATGACCCTTGTTTTTAGCTTAAGCCATCAGATAAACGCCAAATGGCTTGTAATATGAATGGAAGGAAAAAAAGTAATAAAAATGTGGATAGCAGATACCTTTATGATAAATAGATTTGAAAGAGTCATTCCTTCCTGGATAAGAGAAAAGGGGATTTCCCCTTCAAAGATGGTGGTCAGCTGCAACACAGGCATACACAAGCCGACAATCACACTTTGTCTCTCTAAAACAGTCCTCCGAAATATTTTGAGTAACAGTAAGGTAAAGGGTAAAGGGACCCCTGACCATTAGGTCCAGTTGTAGACGACTCTGGGGTTGCGTTGCTGATCTCGCTTTATTGGCCGAGGGAGCCGGCATACAGCTTCCGGGTCATGTGGCCAGCATGACTAAGCCGCTTCTGGCGAACCAGAGCAGTGCACGGAAACTGTAAACGCCATTTACCTTCCCGCTGGAGTGGTACCTAGAATCATAGAATCATAGAGTTGGAATAGACCACAAGGGCCATCGAGTCCAACCCCCTGCCAAGCAGGAAACACCATCAGAGCACTCCTGACATATGGTTGTCAAGCCTCTGCTTAAAGACCTCCAAAGAAGGAGACTCCACCACACTCCTGGGCAGCAAATGCCACTGTCGAACAGCTCTTACTGTCAGGAAGTTCTTCCTAATGTTTAGGTGGAATCTTCTTTCTTGTAGTTTGGATCCATTGCTCCGTGTCCGCTTCTCTGGAGCAGCAGAAAACAACCTTTCTCCCTCCTCTATATGACATCCTTTTATATATTTGAACATGGCTATCATATCACCCCTTAACCTCCTCTTCTCCAGGCTAAACATGCCCAGCTCCCTTAGCCGTTCCTCATAAGACATCGTTTCCTATTTATCTACATGCACTTTTGACGTGCTTTTGAACTGCTAGGTGGGCAGGAGCAGGGACCGAGCAACGGGAGCTCACCCTGTCACAGGGATTCGAACCACCAGCCTTCTGATCAGCAAGTCCTAGGCTCTGTGGTTTAACCCACAGCGCCACCCGCGTCCCCAGTAACAGTAGGCGGAGCCTATTGGACATTGGGTGGAGCCAAGAGCGAGAAACTGGTCAATGGAAGGTAGCTAGACACGAATTCTAGCATCTTCCACTCAGATATTCCTTCCTGCCCTGAAACTTCAGATCAAACACAGAGGGTTGCATCTAAGTTTTATTTAGACTGGACCCACTGAAATCGATAGATCACGTCCATTAATTTCAACGGGTCTTCTTTGGGTAAGAGTAACACTGGAGACAACTCCGAGACTTGGCAACCCTTGTGTGATTTCACACATTACATGGACAAACCTGGGTTTCAGAACTCCAGTGGGGACACACCCAAAGCAGGTCTGGCCTACAAGTTTATGTCCATAGGGTGCCATCATCCTTTCAGGGCCTGTGGGTACATTTGCAAACCAGAGGAGTTGCTGCGGGCCGAAACTCCCCTATCTCCCCATCTGTGGCATCACTGAAATTGGCCCCTGCACCGTGGTTGGGCTTTTAAAATGAGTCTTTTATTGGCTAAAGGCGGCCTCTTTCAAGCACAATTTCAGCAGGGATTGGGGGGCGGCGGAGGGAATGGAACCCTGTGGGCACGAAGGCAAACGTTTGTGTGCCCACAAGTGCCACACTGGCAACCCACATTTCAGCCCCTTGCAAGGCTCTGTGTGTACGCCCTTGGAAAATGTAGAATCACGTAATTGCAGAATTGGAGGGCTCCCCAAAGATCATCTAGTCCAACCCCGCTGCGATGCAGGAATCTCAACTTACACAGGCCTGCAAACTCCCTGCATTTGGCTTAAGAAGAACCATGCATCTCTCCAAGATATCGAAGGGGAAGCCGACGACGGAAACAAAGGCTACCTCGTGTGTTTTTTTTAAAATAAACGAAATAATAACAGTAATATAATAATAGCAGCGGTGAAAAGGTTTTGTTTGTGTTCCACTGTAGCTGGGTAGCTATGGAACTTCTTCGGGAGAGGGTGCCTCCTGGTGACAGCTCTCACCTATCCCGGTTGACGCCAAACTGCCAAGCCCGGCCTCCTTCACAGCAACCTGCGTCAGGAGCGAAACAAGAGATCCTCTTTTGGAACATGAGCAAGCCAGCTGTCAGGAGGAGAGTGGAATCGGTAACCCTATGCCAGTGCGCTTGCGGGGGTTTTGATTTTTTCCCGGGGAGGGGGAAGGAGGGCGGCCGGGAGGGAGGCAGAAAGACAAGAGATTGGATGGACTTGTTTGAAGTTAGGCAGGCGGGCACGTGCGTGAAACACGACTCAGTGCAGGATCTGTGCTAGGAGGAGCATTTGTGCACTGTTATCAAACTGATGCACCATCCGCCACAAATGTACGATTATTTCATCAATGAAATACTGCAAATAAAAAACACTCTGGAGGAGCTCATAATGATTTAATAATGTACCTCTCTGCTCAGTGCGGGGTAGGGTGAGAGAGAGATTTTAAGTAAGCGCTACAGCATGGTTGCAAAAGTTAGATCCTTTCCTCTGCACCAAAGTCCCAATCAAAACTGGGACCTCTTTGCAGCTGAGTTTTAGGAAGGGTGAGGGGAGACGTTGTTTGCTCCCAAGACGGATAATCCTCCCTCTTCTGCCCAGCTATTAAAGGTGGCAGAGGTCCAGTCCTGATTATTATTAACTAAGCTGCTAGACACCATATACTTAGTACGATTCCCAAATGCATCTACTCCTTTAAGGACAGATTCAAACACTCAATCCCTGACATGGTACTAAATAGATTCCCAGCTCGCTTTTGGGGGTAACTAGCCCCTCGTAAAGCAGATTACAGCATACTTGTAAAAGCAGAATGAATAAACAAACCATAAATAAATAGCTAAGGTGGCAGCAGCAGAGAAAACCTTTGTTGAAAAGCACGGGGCATTGAAAGTAACCACATGCAAAAAGGGAGGCCAGACGTTCTTCCAAAGAAAATGTGGAGTCGCCATAGAAGGGGCTCTGTCCTTGGTACTCACTAATCTCACAGCTTTCACCAGTAGATTAAGGTAAAGGTAAAGGGACCGTTTACCTTCCCGCCAGAGCGGTACCTATTTATCTACTTGCACTTTGACGTGCTTTCGAACTGCTAGGTCGGCCCTCCAGGTGTTTTTGGCCTACAACTCCCATGATCCCTAGCTAGCAGGAACAGTGGTCAGGGATGCTGGGAATTGTAGTCTCAAAACATTGGGGGGGCGAGGTTGAAGAAGCCTGAGCTAGGGCCTTTTAAATTACGGAGGGAGCAGTGTTAGAAACTCAGGTATATAAGCTCATTGCCAAATGGCAGTGAACCCTGCACTCCTTGGAGGAAAAGGTGGGATATAAATAGAATAAGCTCTTCTTGTTTAACTGTGTAAGAAAGCTGGAAACAGCCAGCCAGACGGAGATGTCGGTCGCCAACGTGGCATCCCCATGAGATCTCCATGTGCTTACAATTGGACCAGCACCAGTCAAAAAACGTGCCTGGCTAATTTCGAACATTGGGAAGCGGTGTTGTTTTGCTTGTTACTATGTTATGTATTTTTGCATTTTTATTTTGTAAACCACCCTGTGATGTAGAAATTTTAAAAATATATACAGTATAGAAATCCTGCTGACCCAGTCGAGCGTTTCTGTTACCTGCTGGGAACAGAATGCAGTCAACGCAG